CCCCAAAATAGAAAAAGGCTGAACCTCTCCCCATTTAGATTTAAATCCTGCCCTGGCTAGGAAGAGAAATAATGGCATTGTTCCTTCTAGCATGAAGATCTCACTTATAAGGGCAGTGTTCCTTGAATGTCATTAGTTCCAGTTACTGGTTCCTGCTGAATAAGGAGCCCGCAGAAGTTGTGTGTAGCAGACTTGGTGCAGAGATTAGTACAGATGTCTCTGCTGTAAGTCCCAGACCCTCGAAATCGTTGTATGCTATTGTAGGTCCTCAATTTCTTTTGTCACAAATTAGGATTTTGCCGTAGCATCACCATGACCCTTGACTTTCCCCACAACTGAAAATTCTTTTATAATCTTTCTATAACGTAGACTAGGAACTCTGCTCTTTAGAGTGACATCTGTTATTTCCATTTGTATATTTTCCTGAAGCAGAGTACACCTTTAAGCATATTTGCTTGCAACATTAAGGACTCCTAGGAATAGTCCGTACATACTGTTTCTAAAACCCACAGTATCCTTCCTCGTGACAAAACTGAACACGACCTTGTGTATTACAAGGCTATAAAAAAAGATAAGCAGATTTTTAGATCTCTAACCTGTGCTAAAGGTTTTACTACAGTATACTCACTGTGATCTGACACCAAACACAGTGAAGTCCAGTCAAGCCTTGGTAACACTTTATAGTTTTGTGACACTTGTCACATTTTGTTGGACAATTTCCTTCTACCCAGAAATGGTGCATTACCTGCAAAACAGAAGTGTCGTTATGCACAGAGTTACTAAATTGACAGGCACATGGCAAACTTACTGCTACCCCGGACTTACATCAGTATTCTTTTTGGACTTGACATATGTTTTGATGCAAGATGCTGGAGCTCTCGAGACACAGCGTTCGTGGACTGTATACTTGCAAACTGGAAAGAGAAACATATTAATAGAAGTTGAGGCAATGGTGTTTCTGACTACATTTTTATGAAACAAATAATGTTACCAGCATGCCATCTCTAGTTAATCAATCCAATCAGTCAATGAAAACTCAAACTAGACTGTTTTTTCCATGGAATACAAAAGGCCAATTAGAACAGGAAATATTATGCAAGTGAGAAATCCAAGAATGCACTGTCATTGCATAACAGGAAATGCTTAATTAAATCAGAGCTCACTACATTTTTTCACAATAATTCCCAAATGACAAAAATATTAAAGACAAATTGATGACTGCCAAATGGTTCGGTATCATTTGCTAGCAGAAAGAAATCTGTATTTTACAAACTATAGGCATAAGAGCAGCTGGCAAGCACAAAAATAAAAGGCAATGAATTTATGTTGTTCCTTCTATTGATTTATAAATCTTAAATGGCTGATTAGTCCATTTTCAGATAGCAATTGTTTTCAAGCATTCCAGGTTATCACCCCAAGTTTAACTCTTACTTTCCCAAATGTCAATTCCTGAGAAGTTTTTTTTTTCCCCCAACCTCTGCACACCAGTTCTAGGTATCTCCTGTCGCTGACCAGGTCTACAAAGACCACACTAGCTGCATGTGGAAAACATACAGATGTTACAGTACAAGCTCTCCTGACTTCAACTATTCAACTGTGCCCAGATGAGGAAATAATGCTACAGCTTATACCTGCACTCACTAGAGTCAACTATTAAAAACTGAGAATTAATTTCTCCCTGCATGCTATATGTCTCACGCTTTTGACCTCGAGAGCAATTAAGCACAAAGTACTTCTAAACACCTTGCTTGCACCTATTACACAAACCCAGTGGGAGGCGCAGCCATTAATCAGACAAACTGCAGGGAGTAACATTGTTGATTGGACCATGGAGGGATGGGGAGGCCCCCCTGCAGTTCCCCCACCTCCCCTTTTTTTTTTTTTCCTCCCACACAATCTAAAATGCAAATAATGAAATCTATAGCAATGCTTTGGAAATATACTTAGAGAAGAAGGCTCAGCGAGATAAGAAAACAGTGTAACAGTTTTGTAAGTAGACTCACATCCCTTGCTGCATCAAGTAACTGAAAGGAGCATGTGGATGTTCTTGACATACTCTGGGATCATTGTTCTCACCAAATAAATATCGGAATCAGAGAATGTTAAAGGTTGGAAGGGACCTCGGAAGATCATCTAGTCCAACCCCCCTGACAGAGCACAATAACAAAAAAAATTTGATGAGGTATATTGCAGCAGAGGAAATTAGAGGTCTTGTAAGGCTGGTCTTTTTGGGCCAGTTTCTGTAGCTTATCTAACACATTTCTGATAACTACAGAAGAAGATGATCTATTTTATTTGCTCAGCAGAATTTTCTCTGTCAAATATATATGGGTCTTATATTTCCTCACATGGATTAAGTGTACATCAGTCTGACACAAAAGAATAGTAAAGTATTGTCCCTGCCCATGGCAGGGGAGTTGGGACTAGGTGATCTTTAAGGCCCCTTTCAACAATTCTATGATTTCGAGATCAAATAGTCAAGTCAATTCAGCATTTCATATATATATATTTATATACACACACATATACATATTCCAATTACCTACATCAGCATTTATTAATTTGAAGTTATGCAATTTCTATCTGTTCTAATTTTAGTAAATATCTTTCTCTCATTCCATAGTATTGTGAATGAAATTATACAACGTGAAAACACATACATGTAGGATTTACATCTGAATTAAGTTATAAAGAGATCCATGGCCCATATAAGAGAGAGAAAAGGTCGATTCCAAATCCCTCATTCATTCAGACTTATCTCAAATTAATAGAAATTATCTCAAATCAATACAACAGTACAGGTAGAAAGGTCCTGATCAGCTGTGACGGGCTGTATCTTTCATATAAAAAAAAGTAAAGAAAGTATGTTACACTATGAAACTGGTTAAACTATGGAAAAAAAGCAATGAAAGGCGACTTGATACCATCATGAGAAGAATGCAGTGGGTACCTAAGATCTCATTAATCTACTGGAGCAGGGCATAACACAAACCAGCCATTGGAACCATCTACCAGCCATATTCAAATCAGAAAACTGATCTTAAAAAAGACGATAAATCATTGGAACACATCACAAAAGAACGATATGGATCCATTCATCTCTTGAAACATTCCAACAAAGACGAGGCATCCTTCAGCAAGATTTAGTTTCTCAAAATACATTTTATGAGTTAGTCAAACACAGATTATTAGGAGATGCACAGATATACCTCAAGGAATTGAACTGTAATACCTGCATCTAATAGTCTAATGAAGGTCAAATTAGATGCGTTATTTTTTTTCTGTGTTCCTTTATCTTCAATCCTATCATTAGTTAACATGTGAAAGGATAGCAAGACTGAGATTAATGATTACTGATTACAAACCAAGTAAACACACAAAACTCGAAAAGTGTTACAGATGCTTGATTTCTGGCAAACTGGAATTTTGACCTTCACAATCAACAAAACAAGGAATCTGTGCAAAATTTCAATTAAAAAATATGGAACTTAGATCCTATTCAAGTGGATAGCCATTAAAGAATATGAATAATTATTAATAAATAGTAAAGAGGAATAACAAAAATACAAGGTTGAAACTTAAGCATGATATTTGGTAAGATAAAATAATAAAAAAAAAGAGTAGACTCCAAAGAGAACTAACAGTGAGAGCCATTATAATATAGAAAATTCCTTCTAACAACAGCTTTCAAAGGCCAATATTCCTGAAAAATTAAAACCAGAACCTTAGGCGTTCAAGTAGAGAAGACAAAGGGGGAGACTCTGCTTTGCTGGCAATGGTTTTGTACTGGGAAGCTACCAGTTCTTTGTTATGCAGCAAGTGCAACATTTTTAGGAACAGACATGTATGCAAATGGACACTGAAATGCTTATACTCACAAGAACAGCAGAGACCTTGCTTGCCTACTCCGATTAGCATGTTCAAACAAAGATTACAGTAGGCAGGCTTGTTAAAATGTTTCAGTCTCCACACATGCTGCCCATCATCTTTCACATTCTGCATAGGACATAAAAGAAACAGATTTCATTTAATAAAATAAGCAATGAAATATATAAGTGCCAATAAAAATTGGAGATTGACTCACAAACGTAAAAGACAAGCTGTTACTTCGCTTAATACTCTGTACCATATCTCAGTATAATCATTCTAAATACACAGGCAATGATATAATAAAAAATTCCTCAGAAGCTCAGGGACATCCATGTGTTTCAAAAACGACTCAGAAAAAACACCAGGCTGCTGTCACCATTTCAGCACAATGCTAGCAATAAATCTAGGCTGATATTAAATTACAACTAGTACTAAAACTAAAATTCGTTCTAGGTGAATTCTAAAACTAAAAGTGCCACAGGTTAGAAGGCAAAACTCCCCAAAACAAACGGTAGAAAGGATTTTTTGAAACTACAGAGATATTCTTTCTTAGCAACCCTTAGAATTAGGGACATGTATCAACACAAGCAAAGTGAGAAATCTAACTACACCACAGTAATACCTATTGCCAGCTTTAATTTATGTGAAGCTACTGCTCGCAGTCTAAAAAAAAAAGCACGTATTTAAGAGTGAGACTTATATCCTCAACCTCTATTCCAAAAATTAAATTCCTTACATCCAAGCCCATGTTTTTCAGTTAGCTGTAGCACTATAAGCAAATCTTGCACGAACAGATAGATCAACTGATCAGCACTTATAACCCAACCCACTAAAACTTATACGTACAATTAAGATATTAACAAATCATTTACATTTATGAAACTAAGCTTTCGGTTGCACGATTCTCTTCTTCCTTTTTAATGGAATCATTCTGAGACCTGACTGTTATTAGAAGGTTTTCAAAATTATGTACACTTGATAAAGATATTAAATTAATTCTCTAAATTCTAGGTTTCTCAGCAAGCATTACCATCAGATTTTTACCTTTTTCTAATCATTAGAGATTTTGATAAAAAAAAATTTTAAAAAAATTCTTTATTTTTTACCAAATGGAACATCCAATGGAACAAAGGCAGTTAACGTCTATCAGCTGGAAATGGGCTGCAGTAGGTTTATTCTTCATTGTGTACTATTAAAACACAGTGGTCTTGTTCACTTCGTTACCAAAAAGCTCAAGGAAGCCATATCAATCTCTGGTTCTCAGAAGCAATACCAACATTAGGTCCTCATCCAGTTTCTGACTTCTCATATCAAACCACTACTAACTGTAATCACGTATATACAATATTCCTGACCGGATCTTCAATAACATGATGGCTTTCACAGGTAAGAACATTCAATGTAAGTCAGTGGACACAAATTTTAATAAAAATTCCATTTTGTCCTATATTAGCGTATACTGCATGAGTTACGTGCTTGAAAAGTAGCATTACTCTAAGAGTCAGCTGTTAAGGACAAGTCAAAGAAGACTTCATATTTGTGGAAGAAAAAGAATTCTGAAGGAAAATCAGCATTCCTAGAAATTAAAAATGTTTGTTTCAAAGCCAGGACCTAGCCAGAACACAACTCTTAATAATTCCTCCAAATTACCTAGCAACAAAAGGAACTGAAGTCAGCTGGAATATTTTTTTCCTCTATTGGAGTATCAGGCTCAGAGCCTACATGGAGTTCCCCCGATATTACCAGCAGGAGGTCAAACATCAACTCTGACAGCTGGGCAATGTCAGGGTCTCCTTTCTGCAGAAAGAGCAGAGCAGATGCCTAACGTGGGATTCTTGGGCTGGCAAAGAGTGTGGAAGTTTTCCAATTTCCCCTGAAGAAGCAGAAATAGATTCTGCAGCTGTGGAGCACTAGAAGCCTGTCAAGCTCCTTCAGGACTGGGAGCTGAAGAGGATGTATTTCATTAAACAGAGCTCTGGAACTTCTATTTTTCTTTGCATATTACTGCCACGTTCCACACATTTTTAAACTGTTGTTAAAACTATGATATAGTACGTGAGTGTCAAGCTTTCTGAAAGAGGACAGTTATTCACTAGACAATAAAAACTATGTAAATCCTTCTGAAAAAAGGAAACAATGTACACGTTCATTTCAACATTACTCAGGTCATCAACAGATACAGGCATAAACTGCAAGGGCTTAAAAAGCAAGCTGATCAGCTTCCTTTAGAAAAATATTTGCTATTTCTGAAAATTAACAAAAATCCATAATTATGCATAAACTTGCCCCTCTTCCACATTAGTTTTATGTTAGTTTTTTCATTTTAATTTTATTTTTAAAGAATGGCCATTACATGTGAATATGTCGCTTCTTATTTGAACAGAACATATGGACTAACTTAGCTGGCATTTTCCTTATCAGAAAAACAAACAAGTCTTGATGTGGGTGTTCTGCCAATTAAAACACTTAACTGTGTTACAGACTGCAACTGATGCAAATCCATTACATAAACACAATGCACTTTTGGAAAATAGCAAATTAAATTTTTGCTCTTGTGCACTGCCAAAAATAAGCAATAAAGCGCTGCATATGATTATGCACGCACATAACTTTTTAAAACACTGCCAAGAAAAAAAAAAGAAGACATAATGTGAAACAAAGCCTTCTCAATGCAAGTCTTTAAGTATGAATAAAATCCACAATTCTGACACATCAGTGCATTTACTGACATTCACTCATATTGCTTCCATATCCTGAGAATGAATTTAAAAACAAATAGTCATTAAGATCTCAAAGCAGGGCAGGTACAGTAAAAATCTCTTCCTTACTTCATTACACATCGCTGAAAATGAAGCTTCCAGATGCCACATTCAGACTTTAGTATATAATAACAATAGTAACTTTTATTTTGTTAACAATGGTTCTCTTAACTTGTGGTCCTGCCCCACCATGGATTTGATTACCAGAACGACTTGACCTTAAAAAGTGAGTCAACCATGAAAGAGCCAGCCTTAGAATTAGTGGGAAGTTTTATGCAGTCATAGACTTTAGCTACACACCTCCAATCTGGTTTAACATTAACTCACATCAGCTTTTTAAATATTTGTAAAAAAAGGTAGACAAAGGCCTTGTGAGACTTAAAAAAGGCAACAAAATCAATGATAAATTTTCATCGGAGCAAATACCCTCTCACGACAGTTACAGAGTCTGAAATGCCAGCACGCTCAGACTTTGCTGTGAGAAGAGTCAGTAAAAAGGAACCAAGAGAGAAGGATCTCGGTGAGTCTGTTGAGTTGTTCTTTCACTGCCTACTGTTACTTCATTTATCTCAAAAATATTTACGTGACTTGAAGACATTTTTAGGACTGATCTTTGGGTATTTTTCAGTCAGTGGGAAGGCGAATGAAGCATCCATTAAACCACCTCTTTCTAACAGAAACGCAGTTAAGTTCTACGTTCCTTTGGTGGCTCCCAGCAAAGAATTCATGTCAGATTTTCATTTATTCAATTTGGTTTGGGGAGAGGGGGTTCTTGATTCTGTTTAGGCACAGCTAGAGAGAGAGTAATCTCATTTAAAAGGGTATTTGGGAGGGCTCCTCACTTCTAACTTCCAAGATATTTTGTGTGTGTCTATGTGTACATGCTGGAGAAAGGAACAAATAAATAAATAACATTTCCCCAGCCTTCATCCATGTACTCACCAGTGTACTATTCTGATCATTAAGAAATGCTTAACCATTAATATGCATAAGAAAATGACAGCATAGAAAAGGGAGCACAGGAGGGGAAATTAATTTGTTTAAACTGCCTTCATAACTAGCCACACTACAAAGTTTCCCTGTCCCTAAACTGGTAGTCCAGCTGAAATGCTGTAGAAATTACATTTTAAATAATGAGTATATTGTACAGCTGAATGAAATACCATTTATTTTCAACCTTACACACAGAACAGGTGAGAGTTACTCCGGACTTCTCCTGAGCTTTTACCACCCTACAGGCAAAAGGAAAAGCAGGACTATGGTAAGGAAAGGCGTTTGCAAACTTCCTGCAAAGAAGAGGGAGCTAACACCTCATGAAAGTAGACAGCTCTGCCAAGAAGAGAGAGGTGCACTCTTTTTAGCGGCTCCTGCTATGAAGTCTCACAAAGCATCACAATTCCCCCCTCTGCTGGCAATGTAGAGAAATGATACAGGCAAATTAGCTCCTTTTACCTCTCAAGGTGAATGAATCTGCTTCCCAGCTGGCAGTGAGTTGGCACAAACAGGGTAAAAGTCCCAGCTTCTTCTAGCAGGGGCTTGGGTTTGCCCTCTGTACACACAGAAATTGCATATGGCTCATCGGCACATCGGTCTGTTCGAAAACTCACCTGGCCAGACTTCAGACAGGGCTTATACAAATATCACTGGGGATATAATATCACTGAATGAAGGAAATGCAATTCTACAAAACTGCTTGGGTATGAAACAGTCATTTCAGACTTCAGCCTGAGAGGAACCCCTCACGGTGCAGCATATCCTGCGCCAGACTTGCAAATGTTTGCAAGTCCCCAGTTTGGTTCCACTTTCCTGTATTCAGAGCTCAAAAAGTAACACAATAATAATGCAACATCCAACGTAAGAAGCAGTATTTCCAAAGTGTGGATTCACACTCTAGTATTCCATCCCATATTTAATAGAAAAGTTTAAAAAGAGCTACCTTTAAAATACTTTGAGTGTAATACCGTACTTGTTGCATGAGGACCCAAAACAAAATTGTAAGAGTACCCCTTCTGAATTAATTGAAGCATAGGTACACTTCAATACAAATATGTTTGCCCCAGTGAGATTTACCTTGATTTAAATGGTGAAATGCACTGAAAATCTCAATTGGTGACTTAAAAGAAAGGCATGGTGGCCTGGTTTCAGACTACTGATAACTTTACAAAGCATTTATTTACTCTTGTTTAATTTCTCTCTCAGCCAAGTAAAGTTTTTCAGCACCTGTACAGTACCAGATACAGAGCAACCGTGACATCTAGTGGCCAGTGGGGAGAGAATAAAATATTTCCCACTCCTAAATCATAGTTTTACTTTTTTTTTGAACACTAGCACTTTTGAACGTGCAGCTTATACCTACAGTTTGTGCAA